AGGCCTTAAATGGGATTAAAAGGAAAACGTGGGCCTAAGGGACTGTTCCAAAGGGGAATGGGTTTGGTTTTCCGTTTGTTTGCTTTTAATGAGGCCGAGAAGTTTGTAATTGTGGCCACCCAGCAGCCCCAGCCCAGACGGAGCGGAGAGCGGAGAGTGAGGGGGCAATAAGTGGGGTTTTAGCTCAGTTCTGCTCCCCAGCAGCCCAGGGGTGGGCTGGGATTGTGGTTTTAACTCCCTCTGCACCGCTGGGATGATCCCAACTCGCTCCTCCACGTTCAGGAACTCCCCTTTGCCGGGGTTGGGGGTTATTTTTCTGCTGTGTAGAAACCCCCCGGGAGGCTGCCCAGAGATCCCAGGCGCTGGTTTGTGAGCGTGAGGCCCCTCTTAAAATCACCCCTCGTTCTGGGAGCACAGGGCCTGCTGGGAGCCACTCCAGCGGGATGGAAAATCCCTCTTTTCCCCATTCACGGCCAGGGTTGGAAAACCAGGATCGACCAGGATCCTCCAGGCCCCTGAGCCCGGCCAGGGGTTCAGAGATAAAATCAGGGAGCAGCCTGAGGTGCCTCCACCTGAAAAGTGCCACCCTCGGGTGTGTGTGTGTGTGATTCGAGTTGCCACGAGCTTATCCAAAGGCTTTTCCCACATTTCTCTCCCATTCCTGTCCTGGGCACCTCCCATGTGACCTCAGGGATGTGCTTTGCCGGAGGGTTCAGCGGTGGCTGATCCCAAACTTATGGAAAAGGGCTTGTTTTCCAAGCTGTAGGATTTTTCAAGTTCTAAACGACGTGTGAGACAAAGAGCCCTCCGAAAGCAAGGGCAGTGTTTGCAGAATTGGGGTTCTGTCCCGTCTCGTGCGGGTTTTTTTTGCTGGAATGGCTCAAAAAATTCCCGGATCATCCCACAGTCCAAGTCCCGCCGACCCTTCCCGCCGCCTCGGTCGAGGTGAAAGGCTGAGCCGGTGGAAATCACCCTGGGAAAGCTGCCTGAAGGGCCTGGTCCACCTCTCCTGGGGGAATTCCAACTTCTCCCCCACGTCTGGGCTCCTCTGCCAAAGGAAAGACCTTTTGGGAAAGTGGGAAGTGCAGCAGGTGGGAAGCGAGGCAACGGGGAGCAGGATCCCAAAGGAACCCCGGAGCCCCAAAGCTGATTTCCCCTTTCCTGATGGAATTTGCCCCTCTGACCTCCCACCGTGTCTTCTTGATTTTTGGAAAGTCCCATTAAAAAAGTAAAAACTGCAGCTTTTGATACTTCCGTGGTGTTTTCCTTCCCCTCTCTCTCTTTTTTTGGGAACGTGTCCAATAAAACCGGATTGTAATTTATCTGTTCTTTTTATTTGCCCTTTTATTTATCTTTTTTTATATTCTAAACCAGAACCAGCAGCACGAAAACCTCACTCCCAACCTTCAGCAGGGCGAGCTGGAGGGTCACGTCACTTTGAGGGAAAAGCTTTAAATTGGGATAAAATCGTCACAAAAATGTGGGAATTGGTTGTTTGTCCCAAAATAAATTGAGGAATTTGAGGAAACAGGAGAAGGTGGAAAAGGAGGATGAGGACAAGAAAGAGAAGGAGGAGGATGAGGAGAAGGGAAGGAGGAGAAGGAGAAGGAGGAGAAGAAGGAGGAAGAGGAGGAGGAGGAGGAAGAGGAGGAGGAGAAGGAGAAGGAGAAGGAGAAGGAGGAGGAGGAGGAGGAGGAGAAGGAGAAGGAGAAGGAGAAGGAGAAGGAGAAGGAGAAGGAGAAGGAGAA